AGTGTGTGTGTGTGTGTGTGTGTGTGTGTGTGAGAGTGTGTGTGTGTGTGTGTGTGTGAGAGTGTGTGTGTGTGTGTGGGTGTGTGTGTGTGTGTGTGTGTGTGTGTGTGAGAGTGTGTGTGTGTGTGTGTGTGTGAGGCTCAGGATGTGTGTTGGTGATTGTCGGTATCTGCTTCACACCAGCGCGTGTTTGTCCTGATCGACACGTCGAGCCCTGTGTGATTCCTGTGCTGCTGCTGCTGCTGATTAGCTCCTGAGTGTTATCACGGAGGGCTTGTGTCGTTGTGTAGTTTGTGCATCGGTTGTTGCTTCTAAGAAACTGGACGGAGCGCAATAACGTGTCTCAGGCCGCGAGCCGAGAGAGTGAGATTAGATTAGCACAACAGGTTATTCACACAAACACACACACACACACACACACACACACACTCACTTGCATTTGTGGTTTACGGGGATTCTCCATAGGCGTAATGATTTTATACTGTACAAACTGTATATTCTATTGCCCTACACCTAAACCTACCCCTTACAGGAAACTTTGTGCATTTTTAGATTCTCAGAAATCTTCATTCTGTGTGATTTATTAGCTTGTTTACCCGTGGGGACCTAAAAAATGTTCCCACAAGGTGAAAATTTACTGGTATTACTATCCTTATGGGGACATCTGGTCCCCATAGCGTGATAAAAACCACACACACACACACTCTCTCACACACACACACACACTCACACGCTTCGGAAGCTTTATTGATGAGGACTTTTCACAGAATCAATGATAATGACATTGTCTCGCCCTGCAGCTCAAACTAACCCTCACTCACTCAAACAAACCTGTTGCCATTATTAGCTTCACAGCAGAACATACAACTCTACGCGCATCGCGTTTTTATATGTACTTATCAAACTCCGAAGACATTTTAATCCTCTCCTTCATATGAGATATCTGAGGCTTCGCGTCAACACAAATATACAGATCCCAGTCAAACATGACACAGATCGACCCAACACATCTGTCGAAGCTGCTCGGATAAACGCCATGCCTTAGGTTTTATTTCATTTTATGTAGATTTATGAATGTTATGTGCCTGATAAACATGCCAGATATTATATTTATTTGGGATTACACTCGTATTGTCGTTCACACAAGAAAAGGGACAAATGCTCTGATTTTCACGCCATTTTTTAACTTTCAGAGGTGAAATAAATACTGAGACTGGCAGTAAACACGGCTCGAGTCTCGTGAAGCGAAGCGAATCAAATTAATTCTAATGACAGATTTGCTCGAGGACAAACATGTATTCTGTATTATGTAAAGCAATAACACTGACATCCAATTGAATGTGAATTGGAAACACGGAGTGTCAAATGACATCTGTTCAAGTGAAACAAAAAGCATAAACATCACTTTTATACGCAGCTTCTAACGCAAACAGCATCGATCCGCAGGAATACACGCAGACACAGTCTCAGCTCTTAATGAAGGAGTGCCTTACCTTCTCACAAATCCTGGAAATCCTTCTTGATTTGTCTAGAAAGCATTAAAGCGGAGGACGCGCGGTGTTCGCGTCTGGTCTGCGTCGCTCCGCCTGATCGCGCGTCACGCCGCGTCTTCACACCGCACTGATGTTGCGAGGCGGGACTCAGATGCAACGCGACCTGTTTGACAGCATGACGACATCCGATCCACGCGCTCCTCGTTCATCCATCGAGCTGGAAAACACACGGATCCGCTGATTCACACAGTCACAGCACAGCGGGGCTAGTTGTCACACCTGCGCAGATGTACCTTTCCATATAGCCTGAGAAAACCTACTGGAAATGTGAACAATTCAGATACACATGTATTTTAAAAACATTACACACACATATATAGGTTGTTTTAATGCATTGGTATGTATAAACTAAATATGCTGACACACATGGCTGCTACATATATGAATCTTAAAGATATTATTAACGTGTACAGGTCTAGTATACATTTTACTATGGGGATTTTTTTTATGTTGGCTAATACACATCTAATATCTTCACCTAGTCAGTGTGTGGAAATTATTTATCACCTTATAGGTAACATTTATTGGCAATATCACTCTTGTTAAAGGGCAATATATACTGCCATTTAGTATACTGTGTGGGATCAGTAAGATTTTTAATGTTTTTTATTTATTTTGTTTTTTTAAAGAAATAGGCTGTGTCTATTTGATTTCATTAATTTTGTAAAATATTATTGCGATTTAAAATAACAGTTTTCTATGTGAATATGTGTTAAACTGTAATGTATTTCTGTGATGCGCAGCTGTATTTTCAGCATCATTACTCCAGTCTTCAGTGTCACATGATCTTCAGAAATCACTCTAATATGCTGATTTATTATCAGAGCTGAAACTCTTGTGCTGCTTAATCATTTTTTGGGACCTGTGATACTTTTTCAGGATTCTTTGATGAATAAAAAGTTAAAAGAACAGTGTTCATTCAAAATAGAAATGGTGTGAGTGTGTGTGTGTGTGTGTGTGTTCTGTGTTTCGTGGTTGTTTTTCCTGTTACTGTAAATGCTGCTGAAATCCATATATTCTTCAACAAAATAAATGTTTTTGTAGTCTAGACTATAGGCTTTGAGTCTATACAGAAAATGACTATGAAGCGACCCTGAGAAATATTCAAAGCATGAAACATGTGACCGCTAGCCCCGTCCCATCATGTCATACAGTACATTGATTCAGTATGGTTTATCAATATCAGACCTTATATGACTCTATAACTGAGGCCAAGCAGGTTCTGAATCAAATAGATTTTATTACATAAATGGCTGCTTTTTTCTCGAGCGGATAAACAGCCTTCCAGAAACCCGGTGATCATCTGGTGAATGGACTGAAATGTCTGTATTTGTTCAAATCGGTGCACAGTCATTTAATCCAGAATTCCACAGACTCAAATTGAAAGGTATTTGTTTGTGGTTAGTAAGATACATGTATAAAATGTATGCAGTACATGGATAATTGTGCGCGCATCTATTAATCATTTTGAGTCTAATTTCATCCCATAAAAAGATGCCTTTTATTTTACTCGAGGCATTGTGAACAAAGAGAGACAAAAAGAGCTGAAACGGTACATTATGAGATCATTATGAGGCCTGAACCAAGATTACAGCGGACCTTCCATTAGCGTTATTAATGTAGTGACGAGGACACACACTGAACACATGAATCAGAGGATCATGAAGCGTTCGGAGTCTGTCCCAAATCTCCATGAAGAGGAAGACTTCTCAAGTGAAGAAGAGGAATACAGTGCGGCTGAACTTTGCTCTGCTGCTGGTGAGAGTCAGTCATCGCAGGGCAGTCCAGACAAAGGGTTTTATGATTCTGTAATGCTTCACTTGTTTCAAAGGCTGTGACTTCTGTCCAAAACCTGAAGCTTCTGAAGTGTTTCATTGTTTTCAATGCTTTATGTCTGTGAGTTTGTCTGCACTGAATCTCCTGTCACCGAGACACATTCCCTGTGTGTGTAAAGATACTTAGCAGGGAAACTGATTTCTGAAGACGTGTTTCTACAATGTCTTTTTAATGCGTTCACATCTGACGCATGAGATCAACACCTTTAGTTCAGTTGCATCATCCAACACAAACATCATTTGAGTTCTTAACTCATCCTCATCTCTTCAAATGAGTTTATGAAATGTGTCACTAAACCTGCAACCGTCATCAAAACTTTGCCTCTTTTTTTCCAAATTTCCCTTATACCAAAAAGAAGTGTACTTCAAGTTTATTTTAAAGTATACTTAAGTACAGTTCAAGTATATTTTTTAAGTATGTCAAGTATACTTAAATGTCATTTTAAGTATATTTCTGAGAAGTACCTAAAAAGTAGACTGAAAGTATACTTTCCTATTTTTTAGTTTAAAAGAAGTATACTAATAGCACACTTGAATAAACTTCTTTTTCGTAAGGGTTTACACACAAATCCATGAACTGCACACAAAATGCAAAAAGCCTCACATCTCTTGCAAAATGAAGCACTGCATTCAAAATATCACAAACACATCTCAAAAGCAAACATTTGCAAACAACTTTGTCATAATATTATGAAATATATATGAAATTGAAAACCGAGTCAAAGGCTGAGAATTAGTGTATGGTTCTGCAGATTTGGTGTGTGCTTCTGCTGTTTGAGTGACAGCTTTCAGAAACTGTGTGACGAGTAAAGATTGTGTGTGTAAGCAGCTGAAAACAACTGTAACGTGACAGCTGTCAATCATCAGAAAGGAAAGACTGTTTCCAGAGTTCATTATCTGCTCATCAAGTGAAGTAATTATCAGTACCGCTCTGGTGTTTGTGTAAGGCATTATATAAATCTTACATAAACCCACACCTCCAATTAACTGACTGTTGTCAAGATGAATTCACTGACGTGAGGCCAGACTAGTGCATGCTGGGATAGACTCGTATTATAGATCAGAGGACAAACACAGATGCACACGTGTGTTCGGTCATACATGTGATTGTGTGTCAAACACAATCTTATCAGTAAGACACCAAGCATCTGTGTGTGTGTGTGTGTGTGTGTGTGAGAGAGTGTGTGTGTGTGTGTGTGCGCATGTGTGTGTGCACATGAGTGTGAGTGTGTGTGTGCGCATGTTTGTGTGTGTGTGTGTGTGTGTGTGTGCGCGCATGTGTGTGTGTGAACATGATCTTACTGTAGTTCTAGACTAAATATCAACATGTGTTTACTCATCTCACCTGCACACAAACACATTCAGTGTTCCTCAAAATCAATAAAAACAGTCAAATGCAAACTCGGAATATTATACAAACCTGCAATAATTAAATATTTTAAATAAGACAAATATCATTTTAAATCCCATTTTATTAACCAATGTCTTTGCTTCTGACCTTTAATGATCCAATTCAATCATACTAATAAGCAAAAATGACACATTTGTGTTTTATTTTAGTTATTGCTGAATAGTGTTGAACTTTCTTCTCCTGCGTCATATTCTTCATGTGATTAGTTTGAGCTGCGCCCTCTGCTGTACAGACGTGAATTTATATTTCCTTCAGCCTGAGGCGCATTCATTTCACTTTTGTTGTGAAAGAGCTTTTACACTTGTAAAACTTTTTTATATTAAAAACAAACAATCAAGCCCCGCCCAGATTTAAAAAAGGTTACTCAAAAGTAACATAACGCATTACTTTCCATAAAAAGTAACGTAATTAGTTACTTTTTTAGGGAGTAGCGCAATATTGTAATGCATTACTTTTAAAAGTAACTTTCCCCAACACTGGCTCTTACTCTAGTAACTTACTGCACTACAGCAAACACTGCGGAAGGCCTGCTGATCAGGAACGACTCACACTTGTGTGAATTTATCTAAACTCTCAGGAGAAAAGCTGTCCTGTCCAAATAGGGTCATAGATTGGCTTCTCTCTGAGAAGAACGCGACCGGAGGCCCTTCAGTCACGTAATCACATGAAAACGGCTGTGCATGTTTTAGGATGCCCTTCATATTAACTGCATTAGTGTGTCCCACTTCTGGCTCCTGATTAAACATTGATTCACAGCAGAAAATGAAACTCAGACCCTGTTGAGTAAATGATTCCTGCAGTGCGAGGAGGATCGCTGAACCATGAGGAAAGCCAACCATGAGACGAAAGCAGCATACGCTTTAATACACACACTTCTCTCACACACTGCATTTCACGTTTATCTTTGCTGAGCTCTCACTCAAGAGTAAATGATGACAGAAGGATGATTTGTGGTCAGACTGTCCCTTTAATGTTGTCAGTCTTTCCAGGAGTGAGGTGTGAGTTTTTCATATGGAAATGAGGGTTGTGCATGTGGACATCAGCGCTTTGTGTGATTCTGCTGGTTAATGAACTAAAATCACCTGCTGAATAGAGACAGAAACACTTGAGGCTGAGGTCAAAGATGACGAATTGCTCTTTCTAGTGAAGCAAACGCATTTAAATCCGTGTCTGTGAGCCGCTCTATCATTACTGCTCTCGGTACTCAGTGTGACAGATGGGAAGAGCTGCTGTCTCTTCAGCGTGACTCATGTTTCTGCGTGTCTCGAGAGCATTCTGGGAAATCACTGCAAACGCAGTGTGGATAACCATCTTTCCAACAATCCAGCCGCTCCAATCTGCTCACAAACGACGAGCTCCTTCCACAGGTTTATGACAGCTTTGCCTTTCGATGAGTAACAGAAGAAGCACCTGCAGCCCAGTTGTGTTTGTGCTGACCTACATAAACAATACTTCACATATCTGCGGAGAAACCTGCTCGTCTGGCCCGCTCCTCATACGTGTCATTAGGAGAGGCTTTGCGCTTCACTGCAGCACTTTGGCTAATTAGCTCTTTAATTGAGTAACGTATCCTGACACCTGTAATTGTAATGGAGAGTGAACTTCATCAGCACAGAATCAGCTCTGAAGCTGTCTGAAGTGTTGGCTCAGGGTTAGTTCAACAGGCTCTGGAAGGAATAAATCACCCAGAAACTAAGCATTCTGAGAATGAAATTTGTCCAATCAGTGGAAGTCATTGTTCACTAAAATGAGTCTGGTTAGAAACATTCAGTAAATGCTCAAGTCCTCTGGGTTTGGAATGACATGAGGGTGAGTATGCGATGACAGGAGGAGGATTTATGGGTGAACTGTAGCTTTAAGATTTCAGGTTCAGATGCCATTTCTGTCTGCACTCTGCACATCTGAAATAGTCCTGCGGAGA